GAGGAGCTGGAGGAAGAAACTGGGGAGAGGGAAGTCTGGGCATCTTTGCTTAGACTGCTGCCCCCGCGACCCAGTCCCGGATAAGCGGAGGAAAATGGATGGATGGATAAACCTTGGAATGTCATTTTGCACAAAACAAGGACTGTGAATTTGTCCTTCATCATTTACTGTACACTGGAATTTGGGGGTGCAAACCTGTCTCCTTTCCCCATTTTTATGTCCAAATTGGTTATCCATGTGGGCAAAGAAGAAGGGGTGGGCATATTTACATATTCTCCATGCTGACGCCCATCAGCTTCACTCAGTGTTAACAGTCAAAATGATGTGCACAAGTGTAAGTGACTCTTCCAACACTTTAGTTAGCAGAGTATCAGTATTAATAGAGATCATTCAGGTAGCAGCTTCCCATTTTTAGCTGGTGTTCATTGTCACCGTTCCCTTTTAAAATGACAAACAGTAGGGTCATATCAGCTCTAACTAACGTTGACTCTGTGATGTAAAGCGATAACAGGCCAAAATGAACCTTGCCTTTGACGTGTTTGTGGGCTTCAGCAGGTAAAATACATGCACATATTAGACTCCTCTCACCCTGCTCACAAACTGTTTGACCTCCTGCCCTCTGGGGGGCGCTTCAGGAGCCTTCGGACCAAAACAAGTAGACTCAGGAACAGCTTCTTCTCCACAGCTGTCTCCTTACTGAACTCTCATCTGCTTTGCTGGTGTGTTTAGTGTCATGGGCCTGATGTTTTGATGCTGTAGGACTATATGGCACATAATGGGCACCTCGCAACCTCATAGTTTTATTTTAAATTCAATATAAAACTATTAATGCTGTGCTTTCTGGTTGCATCATCTACCTGCTTTGTCTCTCTTATCTCTTTTTATTCTCATATAATGTTTCTCTTCACGTTTCCTTCCTTGTTTTCCCATTCTTGATATTTTTCTTCACTAAAGTAAGATCATCACATACCGTACAGTATGTTGATCCCACTGTATATGGATGTTTTGCCTCTGTGAGCTCAGACACAACCAAGTTCCACACATACACCCGGCTAGATGAGGCTGACACCTTGTGGTGTTTTAAATGGACCCCAGAGATATTGTACAGTCAAACACACTTTACCAATACAGTTAGAAACACCCATGCACTCAGTTAAGTGTAGATTGTAATTATACATTTTGCTCATGCACTTGTCTTATACAGTATATAGTATAGACCCAAAATCAAGTGTCCTGAGGCACGTAAACCTAGCAAGCCTCATTTAGTTTAGTGCGGCACACTTTCTCACCATTACACACCCACTACAGTATCAGCTGGCAGTGGTCAATCACAGACACACGCTCACAATCCTGTGGACAACACGGACAAAGCAGCAACAGACAGAGAGGGTTGTGCTAATTGCCACTGCTTACTGTTGCTTTCTTGTGACAATATATTTGTCACGGTGTGTCAGACTTAAATATGCCATTTGATATCACCCCATGGCTGCTGGTACTGACTGATGCTTCTTTAAGGCAACACACACACACACAGTGGTCTACCTCTCCCCGACCCCAACCATCATCACTGTCTCCTCCTCCTCTTCCTGTATGTTTTTTTTTCAATGTCTCTGTCACTTTTGTACCAAGGCTACATGCTGTTAGAAACAGGGAAAGGGGTTCAGAACAGGGATATAGGTGGGGACAGATAATCTGCCTTTTAAAAGTGTGTGTGTTTATATGCACTCCAAGCAAAGTGCTCAACTCTCCAAGCATGTTCTGGTTCACCTGTTTAACCTTCGCCTCCGTCTCTGTCTCTTCTTGTGCTTTGCTTTTATCTTAGAGCCTTTTAAGGGGCAGCTGTGGCTCAGGAGGTAGAGCTGTCGTCCCCTAACTGGAAGTCAGTGGGTCGATTCCTGTTCTCCCCAGTCCACATCTCAAAGTGACCTTGGGCAAGACACTGAATCCCACATTTCTCCTGATGGTCAGAGCAACACCTTTCAGGGACAGTGTCGCCATCAGTGTGTGTGAGTTAGCACCGGAGGTGAATACCTCTGCTCTGTAGCAGAGACAAACTCCTTTTGTATGTAATACTTGGCCAATAAAAGTGATTATCATTTTATAAGTGCCCCTTTCCCCTATTGCAGTCCACACTCGAGAACACATCGCTACATTACATATGCAAAGGGATTGTGTATGTGTGGTACTCCCTGTGGTTCCAGCTGCAATTCTGTATGCTTTCAGCTTTTTCAGGGTTCCCGGTGTGCCTCAGCCTCACAGGTCTATTTGTCTCTTTTTCTTCCTCTTTTTGTCTTTTCGTACTCCCTGTATCTTGCTCTAGTAACTCTGCTTTTATTTGCAAACAATTTTTCTCCAATATTTTCTCTCTCACTCTCTCCTGCTCTATTTTTCATGCAGCATCTCTTTTTTTTCACATTTCCGATTTCTCATCTTCCTTCTCTGTCTCCCACCTTCATCTTTCTTATGCATTTTCACTCCTCCTCTCACTTTCTCCCTGCTTCACTCCGTCCCTCCCCTCCTCCTCTCTCTTCTTTCATTTTCTGACTCACCACCTTGCTCTTTGCATGTCTATTTCTGGTCTCTATCTTCCTCTCCCCATGCCAGCATCACCTCCCCCTGGTTCTCATTATCTGTCTCTCTCTCTTCCTTTCACCTGCCTCTGTCTCTGCTTAGATACCTTCTATTCCCGAATCTGTCCCACCCACATGCGCATGTGTGCACATGTGCGCCCACACAGACACACACATACAGATGCACTGTTTAAAAGGCACCACACTCCTCAGAGTAGTCATTTTGGTCTGTGTTCTCTTTTTACCTCTGGGAACATGAGATACATGCTAAAACTACTTGTTAAAAGGGAAGCTAACTGCAATATCAAAACAAGTCTTGTCAAAGATGGGCCTCCTTCCTCCCTTAAACCCTCTTCTAGTTTTTCACCTGATAGAGCTAGAAGCTGAGGGGCCTTGCGAAAGCATCCACTGAGCCCTGAAACGATTTTGAAACTCACATATGAAATAATTACAGAAATGAACCTTGTACCCGATAGCCTGGTTTTCATCGCACCATCTGTATACTGTCAGTATCATGTAATGTCCTCACTTGCAATATTATTCACTGCAACAACTACAGATATAAAAAAAAGGCTGTAACCATCTTAGAGGAACAGACATGCCTATAAAGTAAAACATCTGTTTTTGAAATGCCCTTTTTCTATTTGTACTTTGGTAGCAGACTGCCAGGTGAGTAATCAGCAATACAGTCAGAAAAGACAATGTATTATAAATCTGACAAAGCCTTTAACAGATTTTTCTCTATTGTGCTGCCTTCTGTTCTATTGCAACTTTTTTATTTCACCATGAGCTCCTGCTTTGGCACTAATGATTCCCACTCATTGCAACTAGACAAAAAAAAAGAGCAGATGTTTCTCAAATACCTGCTGGTAAATTTTACTGCATTATATTTTTTTTGTCCACCAAACCCTGGTAGCTAACAAGCAGGCAGTTATCAGTGATACAATCAGATCATAACAAGCTTTTGTGTAAATGTTGTTGCACCTATGATTTTTCTCTCTAGGTTTGCACTGCTTTTGTTTTGCTCACTGTTACGGTGTGCAAATTTTTATTTATTTATTTTTTGTAACTTGAAGTGGAAGATGCACACCCCCTGCCACTGTCTTATGAAATGAAACCGATGTTCACTGAGAAGCTAATGTGGAATTAGAATGATTTTTTCTCATGCAAACCTTGATAGTGACATTTGTCATATGATCTGACATTGAGCTACCATTTGTATTATTGGGTCCACAATTACAATATCCTTGTCATCTCTTTTTGTTAGCATTTTACCTCTGCCCTCCCTCCTGTCGCTCACCATGCACTGTTGTTTCTTTTTCCTAGGTCCCAAGTATCCTCTGAACTCCATGACTTGGAAAGCTGTGTGGAGCAAATTACCTCTCCACCTACTAGTGACAGTGAGAGTCTTTGCTTTCTTCCCTCATGACACCAAAGATGCTAATAACACACCACACTGCTCACATTACTATACATCCAGTCTAACTGAACAAGCACTTGTTCCTGTGCTGGTACCCCAGTCACTTTTATAAACTCAAGCCATTTTCATACATTGACTTTGTCCAGAGTTGCCCTTTCACACGTGTAGCACACAACTAGAGATATTCTGAGTCACACATGTTCTCACCTACTGGAAATACTCCATTTGGTTGAGCAGGGGCGGGTGGGGTTGGTTATATCGCACAGGAGATGGGAGATGACGCGGTCACATGGCTGGTTTGTCATTTGGTCTTAAACAACTGATTGTCTCACTGTACCTTACAGTTGTCTTACGATTCTAGTGCTAGCTCCTAACGACAAAAGTTTCCAAATCATGTTATGTCTCCAGTTAGATATTTTTGTTGGCGTCTTCATTGTAAATGTCAATTTTTCTTCACCGTAGGATGTTTGTATTCTTCTGGTTTTGCTCCAGTCACATGATAAAATGTCATCAACACGACCACTAGCTCAGTGTGAATATTCCAGACTATACGCTGCTGTTTTCTCACATGGGTTTACTCCAGCTCACTCAGACATACTGTGTACTAGGGAGGTGGCAGGGTAAAGCTTACATTTGTGTTCTCCCCCAGGTAAAGTCTGGATAATTTCAGGTTCCAGTGCATGTCTGAAAGGGCTTCAGGCTGTTTTTTCTCATATGTTGTTCCATAAAGCAGTCAGTAGTAGTATTAAAAGTGAGTGTAAGATGTACATAAGAAAATGAAAGGTACCTTATGTTTACACACATTTATCCAGCTCACATTGCACACACACACACACACACACACAGCTTTTTCACTGTTTAATCAGTACATCTAAAATTACCAACTACAGAGAGTAATGTTTTTGTTTCACTCTGCACACCGAGATAGCAGCTTGATTTTGGCACTAGACCCATGGTGCTTTTGTTGTCATTACTGTTATCTTTCATTCACAGTCTGAGTAGAAAAGGAAAAAGGAGTCCAAACAGAAAGGTGGGTTCTGGTTCAGTAAAATGTCCTTGTCAGGCTTGTTGGCTGACCTGCTAAAGCTGCTGTGAAAATGGATTGATTTGACTCAGCACGCAATAGTATATGGTTTTTACACAGTTTTTACCGTTAAATACACACACTGCTACACAACAAAAAACAGTAATGTTGTTCATTTTTACGCTTTCTTGTAGATGCCTGTACTTCTGCTGAACAGGTTCGGAGATGATGGAATTTTCTATAGTTCTGTGCTGAACTGTGCAGGTGTGAAATGCCTGTGGTACAGTGGTAGTCCTTACAGGCCAGTTGAGTGCCCACTAGTGAGAAATTACAGTAAATAAACTGATCCAAATATCCATAAATTGGTAAGGAATACGACCTCAGTTATCAGTTATGCACACAGTAATAATAACAGTTCACCTACATGAGTATGATGCAGTAAAATAGCTGCAGCAGTCAGCAGAAATATCTCTGCCAAAGTTTGCAACTTGCTGGTGAACAGCGTTTCCTTCATTATGTTTTCTTCAGAAGTTTGTGGAGAACAGAATAGAGTGTTATGAGAGTGAATATTAGGCTTGATGAATGCTACACTTGTGCCACATCTGCTCTGTATGTTTTAACAAGTTCGCCATAAAATCTTCGTGATAGTAGTGTGTCAGTCTTATGCTTACAGCTTGTTGTGCGCCCACAGGTGGCCATGAAATTTAATTAATACTGCTTTTGTGTATTAATTTAGAGTTGTTGAAATGTCATGGGATAGTATGGTTATATTCTGAGGCGACTGTTGTAACACTTCTAGCTGGAAAACATAAAACTGCTGTAGCACCAAGTTAGTTCTCACTTGGGCCAAGTTTTGTTTGGTTCCCACCTGATTCAGTGGAAAAACTAATTTCCAAATAAAAACAAAACTTGCTGACAGTGGTCTGTTTATGTCTACCGCTTGCTTGGTGCACCCCAGAGCTTGAGAAATAAATACGCACTACAGTGTTGGAACGGAAAACAAGCACACTCGTCTTTCTCTCTGTTCAGGACAACTACATAAGCCTTGACCTAATGCAGGAAATAAAGAGGCCAGAGTTCCAGTGTGGCGGAAAGGAGACCAGGGTTCAAACTGAGATGTCTTCATACTGGTTTACTGTCAGCGAATAATGCTGTGGGGAACATAGAGTGACATTTAAAAGAAACTGAGAAGATCTAGGAGCTCTTAGGGAAAGGTGGAAAGAGACGGAGGGAGATAAACTGAGGCAGAAGTGCCATGTCAACTGAAATTGGAAGTGAAGTATCTGCAGTACTTCGGGCGCACACACATCCACACCGCCACCATCAGACAATCACGAGGAGAGTGTGTGGAGGGGACACATCTCTCATGCAGCTGTGTCCTGTTTCCTATCAGAGCTATCTGCCCCCTCCTGCTTTCCTTCTCTTTAAAACCGTCTTCTGTTTAGCCCTCACACATCATTACCTGGAACCCCCATTGCTTTTTCCAGAGTCCTTTCTTTTTTAACAGCCTCTCCTCCAGCCCAGACTCATTCCTCCCCACTGGACAGAGAGCAAGACAGTAGCAGGAGGCTGGTGTGTCAGAGGCAGATGCCTGACAGCCAGCCAGCCAGCTCAAGAAACTTTTCACCTGTTACCTCCTGTGTTTCCTTCCCAGTCACCCCTCTGTCTGTCTCTGTGATCTGCTGAGGGCCAGTGCTGCTCACTCAAGATACTAGGGCCCACAGTGGAGGACCAGATCCTCTCCTGCTCTTCATATCATTCTTGCGCTTTCTCACCTCTTCATTTTTTCTGTGCTTTCATTCTCTATCACCCAGACACTCTCTTTTTATGCACCTCATTGCTCTTTCCTCCTCCTCCTCCTCTTTTCTCTTTCATTTAGTCGAGCCAGAGTTTTCCCTGCAGGCCTTTGCCCTGGCTCCTCAACAAGCACAGTGCTGCCATGCAGTGTTCTCCTCCCAGAACACCACTCCCAAATATTCACTCATATACGCATCTATCCATATACAGAATTCACACACACACAAACTTATAAATGCATGAACAGTGTTTATGCGCCTTACTCTTGTTTCATGGCCCTTGAGGAAATACTCACACACACACATGGACGTCACAAAACACCACCACCAAAGGCACCACCCCCTTTTAATATTCATTCATTCATCTTCTATACTGCTCAGTCCCAAACGGGGTCGCGGTAGTCTAATATTGTGTTTGGCAATTGTCATTTTGGATTAATATACACAGGGCTTGTTATTATGTGGCAAACCTTTGTCATCATGTTTAAAATAATAAACCCGGAGTGAACCAGGTCTGGGCTCAAATACTAGTTCACTGTGGGGTCTCTTGTTTGAAAATCATGTGTTTTGTCATCCCATCATTCCACCTCGACGTCCTCCCTGCTTGGACTTGGTCAGTGTTTATGCCGCACCAGCAGTGGTGACTGCTGCTCCTGACATAATTACTAAGCCTAATTATAACATATTTTGATGCACCTTCTGGCCCACTGATAAATGCAGTTTACCCCTGTTGAAATATAATCATGGGCATGTTGCCAACTTATAATGGCCATTTAATGAGATGATAATGTTTGAAATGGCTGACAACCACATACTGTAAGCAAGTGCATGTACAAATATGCTGTGTAATAGGGTTTGCCTGTCTTTGAACGTAGATCTGTGCCAAATCCTTCTTCTGCACATTTTCTTTCTATACAGTAGGTCTACTTCCACCCTAGCTAGCAGCTACAAATAATTGCATCTTTGCATTTTAGTACTTATTTAAGTACTTATTGCCAGAACCCTCTGTTACTCTACAGTACCTGTGCTGTAGGAAGTACAACATAGGTAATATAGTACATTTTGGTTAAATACACTGAAATAACTTGACCAGATGTTTTACCGCAGAGTTTTACAATGTGCCTGTTGCATATATATTTCTTGCTCTTGATGCATTATTACTGTGTCTTCCTGTCCATCTTGGGTCCTCACACATTGCAGTGCTTCTTGTCATTGCTGCTAAAAGACAGTAGCAGGTGTAGAAATGACAAAACTCACCCGCACATGTACAAACAAACACACTAGCAACAGGTCCAGGGCCTACAGTTCCCACACTTTTATAGCCCTCAGGTCCAGGGGACATATGATATATGTGACATATGTCATGTAAATGTGTAGAGGGAGGGTGCACAGTTTGCAGTCACTGAAAATATGTTGTTTTATATTCTTCACAGAAAATGAGCCACAGCCAGTGAGTCTGGGGTAGAAAAAGAATTAATTGCATCATTTTAATTGTAGTAAACATGGAAATCTGGCCCCACACACCTAAGCACCACACAAGAGTCATGACGGCTGAGCAAAAAGTTGAAAATATACTGTGTTGAAGATGTGGGGGTGCTTGTTTGCCTGCATCTTTTTTTAACTTTGTATTATTAATCTCTCTTTTTTTTTGTAGATAATGGATGTGAATGAGAAGAACAAACTTGTGTGTTTTAAATTTGCTTCAATTCACCCAGCTAGGAACCCGGAAGAAAAAGAGGCACCCAGGTCAGATCTGAATTGGACCCAATCAGAAAGTGGTAAACAAAGATCTAGTGACATTTTATTTATTTATTATTATTAATAATAATAGTAGTAGTATATTGCTGCTCTGTGTCACTGCTGCCTAGCTCCTGTATTGGCCTGTGGAGGGAACAAACAGATATGAGTGACCTTCATTACACATGGGACATAATTCTCATGAATGAGTGCACGTAGTACAAGTATCCTGTGTCCAGTTCGGTGAGGGCCTTCTGGGTATATTTATGCAAATGTTCAAACCAGACAGTCTAAAAATCTCATAATAGCCATATTACACTAGAATGAATAAAAACGCACTGTGGCTGTGCACACACACATGCACACAAAGCCATCCATTTCCACTGCCTCTATTCATCGTATTCATCCCCTCAATACCCCTTATTTCGTCCCTCCTTTCCTTTGTTCCATTTCCCCACCTTTAATTGCTCTGCTGCTTTCTCTTCCTGAAAATTCATTGCCTTTCATACCTTCCACCTCTTATCACAGTGACTCGATATTTATCTCAGCGCTGTTCTT